ATATCGGAAAATTGACAACCGAAAAACTGAAAACTTTAAAAATGAAAACTCGAAAACTTCTATGTCGTAAAATAGAAAAAGTTAAAAAAACTATACATGAAAAATTCAGAAGCTAAAAAATCTAAATTTGAAAAACGAAAAATTAAAAAATCGAAAAGTCAAAAAATCCAAAAATTGAAATTTTATATTGAAAAAATGATAGAGTCAAAACATTGAAAACAAAAAAAACTGGAAAATAAAAAGGCGAAACAAATCGACAAATGGAAGAAATTAAAAATTGAAAAATTCAAAATTCTTACACTACTTGTAAAACCAAAAATTCTAAAATCTGAAAATTGAAACATCCAAAAGTTGGAAAAAAATGAAAAATTCAAAAATGAAAACTCGTATAGTTGTACATCGTAAAATTGAATAAAAAAAGTTGAAATAAGAGAAAAAATATGAAATAAGAAGATTGAAAAACCGAAAAAATTAAAAAATAAAGAAAATCTGAAAGCGAAATAAAAAATTAAAGAAATGAACCACTCAAAATCGAAAAATTAAAAAATCAAAATCTGAAAACATATCAAATTGTAAATCGAAAATTTTCAAAATTTCAACATTGAAATATCGGAAAATTGAAAACCGAAAAACTGAAAACTTTAAAAATGAAAACTCGAAAACTTCCATGTCGTAAAATTGAAAAAGTTAAAAAAACTATAAATGAAAAATCCTGAAACTGAAAGATCTAAATTTGAAAAACGGAAATTAAAAAATCTAAGTCAAAAAATCTAAAAAATGAAATTTTATATTGAAAAAATTATAAAAGAATTACAAAATCAAAACATTGAAAACACAAAAAACTGGAAAATTAAAAGGCGATACAAAAAATTGCAAATCGAAAATTTGAAGAAATTAAAAATTGAAATTTGAAAATTCTTACAATTGAAGAAAAAAATTGAAAAAAGAGAAATTAAAATCAGGAGATTGAAAAACCTGAAAATTGGAAAAAAGAAAATAAAAAACCGAAACGAAAAATTGAAGAAATGAACCATTAATAAATCGAAAAACTGAAACCTTAAAAATTGAAAATGGATCAAATTGCAAGTCAAAAATTTTCAAAATCTCAACATTGAAACATCGAAAAAAGTTCCATGTCGCAAAATTGAACAAGTTAAAAAAATTATAAATGAAAAATCCAGTAACTAAAAAATCTAAATTTGAAAAACGAAAAATTAAAAAATCTAAAAGTTAAAAAATCCAAAAATTGAAATTTTACATTAAAAAAATTATAAAAGAATTATAAAATCAAAACATTGAAATCACAAAAACTGGAAAATAAAAAGGCGAAACAAAAAATTGCAAATCGAAAATTTGAAGAAATTAAAAATTGAAAAATTCAAAATTCTTACAGTTGTAAATCCAAAAATTATAAGCCTAAAAATTGAGATATCCAAAAGTTGGAAAAAACGTAAAATTAAAGAAAAAAATAAAAAAAGAGCAAAAACATGAATCAGAAGATTGAAAAACCGAAAAATTGAAAAAATAAAGAAGATCAAAAACCGAAATAAAAATTTGAAGAAATGAACCACTGAAAAATCCAAAAATTGAAAAATCAAAATCCGGAAACCCAACAAATCCAAAAGTTTCAAAATCTCAACTTTGAAATATCGAAACATTGAAAACCGAAAATCTGAAAACTTTAAAAATGAAAACTCGAAAAATTCCATGTTCTAAAATTGAAGAAACTAAAAAACGATAAATTAAAAAATCGAGAAACTGAAAAATCTAACATTGAAAAACGAAAAATTAAAAAATTTAAAAGTCTAAAAATCCAAAAACTTTGAAATTTTATATTGAAAAAAACTATAAAGAAAAGTTATAAAATCAAAACATTGAAAACCCAAAAATCTGAAAATAAAAAACCAAACAAAAAAATTGCAAATCGAAAAACTGAAGAATTGACCACTCTTGCAATTGCAAATCAAAAAATTGGAATATCCAAAAATTGGAAAATAAAAAAAATGAAAATTCGAATAGTTCTACATCATAAAATTGAAGAAAAAAATTGAAAAAAGGGAAATCATAAAATCAGGAGATTGAAAAACCGGAGAATTGGAAAAAAAGAAAATAAAAAACCGAAACGAAAAATTGAAGAAATGAACCTGTAATAAATCGAACTACTGAAACCTTAAAAATTGAAAATGGATCAAATTGCAAGTCAAAAATTGTCAAAATCTTAACATTGAAACATCGAAAAATTGAAAAACTGAAAACTTTAAAAATGAAAACTCGAAAAGAGAAATTGAAAAAATCTAAAACTGAGATAACGAAAAATAAAAATCTAATAGTTGTAGTTTGAAAATACAAAAAATTATAAAATTAAATTATATAATTGAAAAAATAAGAAACAAAAAATTCTAAACTAAAAACTGCAAATCGAAAAATTTTAAAATTAAAATTTGAAAACTGGAGAAACTCAAATTGAAAAATTGAAGAATCGAAAAAAGTAATAAATTGAAGAATTAGTTTTCACTGGATATGAGTTGCACTTCTGCGGCGAGGGAAGTTCTGTCGAAATAACCTTCAATCAATTTTTTGTATTAGTACTACACAAAAAACATTAAAAATACGGCAATAAATTTTGTTCTTAAACAGTTTATTCAAGTACCATATTGGTGAGTATTGATTAGTACCCCAAGTACTAACAAAGACATTACCACATTTTTTTCAACAACTAGATTACAATAAGCCCCGGAATTCGCAACCCTTCTTTATAGAGTCCCTCTTCCAGGGTAGTACCATTGTCCGCCCATCCAGGGTGTCATTACCAATTTCGCGCGTCTGAATTATGGCAAGCCCGCTGCGCGGCTCATAATGAAGACATCTTCATACCATCAGACCACACATGGTACTTCTGGATGATTTACACCCCATAACCATCCGCGCCACTTACTTCCGACATAAAAAATCGCAAAATTCGCCAACCCCTACCATATGGCCAGTCAACTAGCCATTACCGTAAATCCGGATCGACGTTTCTAGCGCCAATATCGTTATCTACCGGCCCAGATCGGTCCCATCGGTGTTAGTTTATGGTTTTATGCTTCGTTATGACATCATTATGTAGCAATAAACAAACAATGCGTCTCTCGAAAAACAAATTTATTTCGGGCCTAACCAATAACGCATTTACGACCCATTGTAGCACGCTTTTTAAAAAAATGCCGACTAATGACTTTGTGGCACTTGGGCCGGTTTCGGTATACAGTGTGTTGGAATAATTGCGCGAGTAATGAGCTTTTAATTTTCGAGCGGCGAAAAAGTATACAGGGTTTTTGGTGGTAATGACTTAAGTTCGAGTGGTGTAAGTACCGACGAGTGGTACTTTCGGGAAGATTTTGTTCCGGTGGGTGTTTTTACGTTACAATTAGTGGGTCAATGCACATACACTTGGTGATTTATATATTAGTACCAATCGGTACTATCAGAGAATATATTTAAATGTTATTGATCAGCAGAGCCAGTATAAAATAAGCATATAATTGTCATTTCCAAAAAATCCGACGACGTAGCAGTAAATTCCGGCCTTGAACGCGAGGTACTACCTCAAGAGCTATGCCCTCTTGAGCGATTCAGCAAATCTGTTTCGTCTACTTATCGCGTAACTATTTCGGTCATTTCAAAACTAAAGTACCACCTCATTACGCCGCCGACCCGGTGGTACCGCTATTAGCATAATGAGTACTACTTACCAAAATCTTAAAATTCTGAAACTTTGCGAATTTAACGCTCCACCTAAACATGCATTTAGGCCAGAAACCATTAACTCAGTACTTAATGCATGTAGATCACACGAAAGTCGAAATATCGAATTACTGAACCCTACACTAAAAACATGAATAACATGAACTTGCACTTTCACTTCTCTTATTAAAATTTTATTCATAATTCATACGTGGTTAATAATAACGGAGAAAAAAAGTGAAAACCGCAACTTTTCAGACAACGGTACGATTAGTACCAAGTCGGAATCATGGCTGATTAAGTTCGGCTCCTGTTTTAGCCGTTGCATGATTCTCTGTGTCTAATTCAGAAGCTAATAAATAACAATCAAACCCAAATAATTCCATCAATCACCCCAAATATTTGTTAATGGGCGTGGCAATGCGTGCGGAACCGAATATTTTGACCACCCACTGCGATAGTCAACTGTCCAGAACGGCAATCCTTTCTTTAATCGATGGATTTTATCAAATTAGGACCCTAATTGAGGAGGATAGCGAATTTTGATTGATTATTGCCGAAAAGATGGTACGATTAGTACCTCAGAAATGGATTTGTCAAAAATGTAATTAATCTTTCGGGTGCAATTAGGTGAAGGCGACAGATCCGAATCGCAGTCGATAAGCTTTGAATGTGGCGCGGTAGTACTGCGGCAGTACCTAGACTATTATCGACGTTTATTGCGCACGATATTTAATAGCAACGCAGTAGGCATTTTAATAACTCATTTCATTATTAATTTTTGTTAAGTGTGCAGGCGGTACTTTTTGTAGAGAACTTACCATGGCCTTGTCCAACCTTATTCCACGAGGAAATTGTTGCCGTTTTAATAAACAAAGTGAATGTAATTTTGTACAAATTTAACACGCGTATGCAAACTAGGAAATCTAGGCAGTACTGAAATGTACGACCTTAGTTTAATAAATTCGTTTCGATTTTTTTACAGCCGCGTCTTAAATAGGTCAGCGGACGAAAAACCGTTGCTTTTTATCAGCTGACTCGCCCCTAATCTGACAGGTACTACAATGATACACCGATAATTTCCGTGAAATTTAAGTGAGATATCAACCCTTTGAAACCATTTAATTGTTAGTGCCAGCTTTGAAGCCTTCACCTTATTATTAACACCTTAGCTAATTGCTACTTGCGTGAAACTACACACTTCGGGCTCGAAATCTGTCAACGGAGTACCGAAAAACTAACATTTGAGAAGTGGTAATTTCGAATAAAATTCCGACAGTGGAAAGGTTTTATTGAATTAGTGAGATTCAGAGTCGGGATAATAGATCAAGAAATCCTTCTTCGCCTTCTTGTCGTGTTTACGGGGAGATGGTACCACCTTGAGTACTCTTTCGGAGTATGACGCATGGTAGACGTCCTTCTTGAGTTGATTGTCGTTGACCAGACCTTGGTATTCGATGTTAGTGGTGTAGCTGGGATCTACAGGTACCACTCCGGGTACTGCCGCCCCTTCTTCCTGCAACTGTGGTATCGGCCTAGGGTTGTAAATTTCTATTTGGGGTTGCGGTAAATGATTGTTTGCTTCAATCGGTACTCTTAAATCTCCATCAATTCGTCCTGTATCGTGACCTTGATAAACTCGTACTGCCTGTCCGGCACCGAAGTCACCACCCACTTGCCCCAAATCGTACCCCTGGATCGCTGCTCTGTCTAAACCAACTTGGATTCTTCCTAAATTTTGATCCTGAATGGCCGGTACTACCTCAGCTCTTCCAACGTCATGTGCAACTCCTTCAACTCTTCCTAAATCATAACCTTGAAGTGGTACCGCGTCAACTCTGCCTAAATTGTATGCTTGTTGCACCCCATCGGCACCCCCTATATTAGTTGTTTGGAGAAGCGGTACTCCCTCCAGATTATGTACGTCATGTCCTTGAGCAGGTACTTGCACAATTTGGTGTTCTGGAACGATTCCTCCAGCATACTGTTGATTGATTTGAAGTGGTACCGGTCCAACTTCCTGTGACTGTACTAACGGTACTGCCGCATTAAGTTCTCTAGATGTGTCAATAATTCCTAGGGCTTGAGGCTGAGTAACGAGCCCGTCACTTCCACCCAAATTTTGTTCAATTCGGTACAATATCGGTGGTACCTGGACTCCAACCGACGGTACTTCTACCTGTGGCGCGTAATTATTGACTCGGCCATCATACGCTGCATAATGAGACACTTGTGGTAATGGTTGAACGGGTCGTGCCACAACTGGTACTTGTGGTACTTCTACTCGAGGCGCGTAATTATTGACTCGGCCATCGTACGCCGCATAATGCGACACTTCTGGCAGTGGTTGCACCACTTGTGGAACGGGCTGTGCCACAACTGGTACTTGTGGTACTACCGCCGGATGTACAGCAGTACCTAATTTATTCACGACGGCTCTAAATCCATGATCATCAGCGATATACTCTACAAGTCTAGTGGTACCATCGGGTTCCAATAAGCTGTACCCTCCGCGTACCACCCCGTTGGTTTTCACTTCCCACTGTGACTTATGATCGCCCGTGTGAGGGTCCGACACAGCATAATTAAAGTGATAATCTCTCGGTTTCTAGAAAGATTCGAGATAGGTTTTTCCCCGAAAAATATATAGGTAGTACTTACATAATTATGATACGCGGGTGCGTACTCTACAACGTACCCACTTTCCTCCGCGAAGAGTTCGCAAGTAACCGCAACAAAAAGCACGTGCCAAACCTTTAACACAATTAGATTAGTCAAGCGCAATTACAGGAGCGTAACACCAACCAAAAACTTGAGCATTGTTTTATGGTACTATTGCAAATGTGGTACTTATGTAACTAAGCAGGCGCGGGTCGCCGCGCGCTTTTATAGATTACGACAAATTATCTGGATTAGAACGTTCCGATGTCTGCTAAGGCCTTCACAGCGGCTTGTCATTGGGAAAACAAACACATGCTTGGGTACCACTTTCATTTAGTATCGGTAGTACCCGGACAAAAAAACGGATCAATGAATCGACGTAAGCGCATCGAGTTTTTGTGTATTCTTGTGGATTTTGGGAATTTGGAAAAAGTGAGTGATGGTGGTACTGTAATATAGCGTTTAATTGCCATACAATTGCGGTTTCGGTACTAATTGTCGCAACATTGTTTGCCCAACTTTATGTAATTAATTAATATTTCATTGTTTGGGGTTAGTAATACAGCCTTGATTGGGAAATGGCTTGGTGGTGACCTTAGTACGACGCAACGGTACTTACCTGTTAAAATGAATTTTTAATTTTAGTGGAATTAATTTCACTAATTGGCGCATGAATTAATTAAAATAAACTCGTTACACGAACGTTAATAATTGCTATTAATAATATAATAAAAATGGTACTTTACAGTACTCGTTCCAGTTGTCTCACTATTTTATTAAAAAGTCAACTTTTTTGCTAGTGCATCGTTGCATTCTTAATACTCAACCGACAACCATAAAATTCACTCATTTAGATCACCGACGTGTTCAATCATGCGTACTTTATTGCACGGTACCACTGTTTCTCAAACTTGCCAATTTCTCTACTATCAGCAACAATTTCGACTAAAAAATTTTAAACATACACGTTACATAAGTCAATCCTTCTATAAAACTCGCCGAGAATTTAATACAGCCATCAGTACCCCAAGTACCACCAAAATGAACTCACTGGTACGACCGCAACTCTAACAGTACGCACTTAATCAAATCTTTAATTTTAGGTTTTGTGTTTCGTCGCTCTTGTCGCTGTGGCCGCTGCCGGTCATCACCATCTTGAAGACAACGTTAGTACCACCTTAACCAACTAAAAACGTATACATCTACATTATTTTCTTGTAGGGTCCAGCGTACTATAAATTCGAGTACGGAGTTTCTGACCCTCACACCGGTGATAAGAAATCCCAGTACGAACATGCCGATGGTAAACATGTGCAAGGAGGATACACACTGAAGGAAGCTGATGGTACTACTCGTATTGTTGAGTACCAAGCAGGTCCACATGGTGGGTTCAACGCTGTGGTGAAGAGAGTAGGTCATGCCCAACATCCTGCTCACTATGGGCACGGTCATGGTGGTCATGGTGGACATGGTGGACACGGGGGGCATGGTGGTACCAGCTATGTCGGTACTACTCACTTTGGGTACGGAGGACACCACTAATTCGATGGCCAGTTTTTGATTTTACGACCAAAGCTTGTTATTTTTTGATTATTTGTACTTTTTTTATAAGGATGTTTTGTTATGACAATAAATAGTAGTACCTATATTTTCGTACTTTTAATAAACCCCCTGAAAATACTTGAGTGAAATAATGAATATTATATCACTTGTAAACGAAAGAATGCTCCTATATGAGTGTGATTTACACCACTTACGGTAGTACCGCTATTAAAATATAACTGTTAATTGTGTTTTCTTCACACGTAATGGTACCTTCAGTATTGTTTGACGATATATGAAAATTATATAATAGGTATTTAGTATACATCTAAAGACAGTACTGCTAGTAGTAGTACTAGTACATTAGTATTGTGACAAATACCAAATTTTTCAATCAACGTATGTCATCTAAGAGTACTACATTATATCCGCGTCAATACATTCATGGTGACATTAAAAGTTTGTAAAAGTAGGAAGTTGATAGCGTACTACCAATAGCAGCATTTTTGCAAGCACAATCGATAAAATAATTCTTTTAACTGAATGAGGAAGCAATATTGTGTTAATATATCATAAATAGATATGAAACAATAAAAAAATACAGATTTAGTACTAGTAGTACCACGTCATAATACCCAACACAAAAACTGTTTTCTGTTGATTCGATTTAATAATAATTTAATAATTATGCTTTGAATAATATTTTCAAACTTGCGCCTATTGATATTAGTGTGGTGGTACCGTCACTTCCTTGTATAATCAAAATATTTTTCGGTAAATTGGATATTTCAGGAATTTGTTGGTTAATTTATATAATACACTAAACAAACTATCGCTTTCGTAATTTTAAAAAGGTACTACCTGCGAGCAAAAAACCGTGCCCGTACTAATAGTATATTTAATAAACCCAAAGTACCCTTCTTACGTGCGATTATTTTAATCACCGCATCTACAAAACGCACCTAAAGCAGCTAAACACTTCCGGTACCATATGGGCAGTACCAAAAATAAATTTGTCCCCCTTTCACAAAACCCTAATCGCAGCATCTGGGACAAACGACAACCACTAATTAACCACTCCATCATTTAAATAAGTATCACTGTATCGCCGTCTGACGGTACTAATAGTACTTTTGTGAATGCGTATGATTACGAACTCCTTACATAACGAAATTCATCGAATATTTGTCGTAAAAACCTTTCTTCGACACAAAAACAAAACATAATCCAATTTCGCGAATTACAACAATGGTACCACTCGATATAGTACGAAAAAGCCGCATAATCAATTTTTTCGGAATGGCATGCGTCTGTTACGTCATGTGTTTTAGTGCTGATTTGTATATAAAGATTGTGGTGGTTAGTACCAGCATCAGTACTGTTCACTCATTACAACCAACATGAATTCTCTCATTGTAAGCGTAGTACTTTTTGCTGTGGCGGTCGTCGCTACCCATCACCACGAAGATAATGTAAGTACCATTTTTGAGTCTCCATTTTGGTTAAAAAGTTTGAATTAGGGTCCGGCGTACTACAAGTTCGAGTACGGGGTTGAGGATCCTCACACTGGTGATAAGAAGTCGCAGCACGAACATGCCCATGGAAAGGAAGTCAATGGAGGGTACACTCTGAAGGAAGCTGACGGTACTACTCGCATTGTCAAGTACCACGCTGGTCCCCACAGTGGATTTAACGCCGTTGTGGAAAGAGTAGGGCATGCCCAACATCCCGCTCACTATGGACATGGGGGACATGGAGGGCACGGAGGACACGGTGGTACCAGCTTCGTTGGGGTCACTCATTACGGATATGGTCACTAATTTTCTAAAATAAATGTTGTTGTTTAATTAAACTTGATTTTTATTTGCGGGACTAAAAATATTTTCGTAGTAGCGCGGTACTATTCCTAGATTTGAGACGCTACAAGGAAACGAAGCTACGTAGTACGTACCTTAACAAGGAACAAAGCTTCAGCAGACGTGGAAGTACCACTTGGTACTTTCTCTCCATTAAAATACGACCAAAAATTGTCAAAAATAATTTATTTTTAAAACTAAGTTACAAATACATTCTATTCAACTTTCACACTCTCGAAGTTGTCTTGAGAGGTACTCACTCCATCTTGGGCAATTATGGCCACTACTGGCTCACTTGCGACGCTGTGGAGTCCACTGAGCCCATGGAAACTCAACCCATGTCCTGGGAAACTTCCAAAACCACTGGTACTTGTGGGGGTTTGTACGCTACCAATTTTTTGTACCACAGCATTGAAACCTTTATTGGGTCCAGCTGTATATTTTACGATACGGGTAGTACCATCGGCTTCTCTGAGGGTGTAGACACCAGTAACTTCCTTCCCTAGTCGTACTTCCTGGTGAGATTTAAAGTCGCCGGTTGTGGGATCGTCTACTCCATAGTTGAATTTATAGGAAGCGTCATCCTAAACATACCGATGTCAAAAAGAAATTAAAAAAGTGGTACTTACGTTGTCGTCTTTGGAAATGATGCGTGCAAAGGTGGTTCCAACAATGGTACTAATGCACAAAATAAGCTGAAATAATAAGGAACGATTTGAAACGTGTGTTAAATAAGTGGTACTATGATTTACCGACAAGTTCTTCATTGTGTGTTGATGATTCGAGATAAAAAATGAGAATGTGTGAAATTTCACTAAACTTCAATTTATATTGGCGGTTTTATAAAATATACATTTGGTGAAAATGGTACTTAGTGAGTAAATGACCAATTTCTATTCTGTTAATTTGGGATTATAATTAAAATAATTACAATTTTGTGGTGTTTTAAGAGCTGAATGAGATATTTATTTTAATTATGGAAAGAAATAATTGAATTGCTAATTAATACGGTCAAGTGTGAAAGTATATATTTGTAGCATGAGTACCGATGGAATAACAGTTCAAGACTGAGTCCAGAAGTCGATACCATAAAAAAGGAATCTAGATTGAAGAAATAAAAATAGTAATCTAGAATTTAGAAAATAGATCTAGAATGTGAAACTTATCTAGGAAGGACTGAATTCTATGGAATTTAGATGTGTCGTTCCATGAAATAAAGATATTCTAGAATTTAAAATGAAGATAAACTATACATTGTAACTTCTTGGTACCACAAAATTCTACATCTAGGTAGAGTAACGACTAATTTGGAAAGATGATTAAAGGTTCTAGAAGAAACTAAAAAGTCTAGAGGGTTTAGTTAAATCAGATAACCATAGAAAATTTTTATAGAATTTCAGGAAGCAGAAAATCTAGATGACCTAGATTCCCAAAACTGAAGATAGAATATTTGTAAGCAAACATACAAATTCTAGACAATTTTATCAAGCTGGAGACAAAATGTGAATAAGTTTTGCAAAAAATCTAGCAAAAAGCTTCTATTTCTATGTAAAAAACCCACCCGATGAATTCCGTTCAGAAAAAGTCGAAACTCCCGCAACACGAATCTCGCTTATTAAATTACATAAAAGACCACATCTAAACAATTAGTCACAACTCGCAATATTCAACTTATGTAAACGACCTTATTTTTTCGCTAATAAGCCTCACTTAAGAAACTGCTAAATCACCTCTCATTGTTGCACACGAAGTCAAAAAAGCGCATGAAATTTCACCAATTTCTTTTTATATGCATTCCAAAAATTCTATTCTAACATCGATCACGGATTAATCCATCGAAAGCACCCACTAGAAGGGATCAACTATTTAAGTGACACAAATCCGAGTACCAGCATCAGTTCGATCAGTACCACCATGAGAACCGCCCAAGTAATTACCTAATTATAATTACGATTCTGATTAGTGGTAAATCGATCCGTTTCAGGTTGCACTTTTACTCGCCATCGCCGCCTCTGCTCTCGCCGGTGGCCACCACCACGGTGAAGAAAGCCACGTAAGTACCGCGCTTAATTGAACGTAATTTAATTCAACTGATTGATTGATTAATTAATTAGGGGCCAGCTCCGTACCACTTCGAGTACGGCGTCCACGACCCCCACACCGGTGACGTAAAGTCGCAGCACGAGCACAGCGATGGTAAAAATGTGGTGGGTGGGTACACTTTGAAGGAAGCTGATGGTACCACCAGAGTGGTCAAGTACCACGCTGATCCTCATGGAGGGTTCAACGCGGTGGTGGAGAGAATCGGACACGCACAGCACCCTGCACATTATGGACATGGGGGACACGGGGGTGCGGGAGGCCATGGGGGTCATGGGGGCGCTGGTGGTCATGGGGGAGCTGGAGGCCACGGAGGACACGGGGGTGCTGGCGGTCATGGCGGAGCCGGCGGCCACGGTGGTACCAGCTACGTTGGTACTACGCACTTCGGATATAAACACTAAGGAAACCAAAGATGATTTTGTTGAGTTTTTGTATTTTTATCTACTTTAATAAAGCATCAAATAAGTATAAATTTGTTTGTTTTTAAAAATGGTCACTTATGATTTTTTCGGAATTCAACCAAACACATTTTCATGTAGATTTCGACTTCCAGAAGCCACTTTCGGGTCCAGTTCTTCGACGTTTTTCCAGAAAAATTTTTAACTTTATACCGATTTCGAAAATATTTAAATATTTCAGACGATTTTTTCAAAAATGAAATTTTCCACTTTGAAAATTTCGAACCATTTTCAACGATTTTCGGAATTTAACTAAACACATTTTCTTGTTGATTTCGGGCCGAAGAAATCAGTTCCGGCCTCATTTCTTCGATAATTCCTATCATTTTTCCAGAATCGCCCATTGAAGTATCGCAATTTTCAAAAATTCCAAAAATTCGAATTTCACACCGAATTTTTCGAAACTATTACTTCGTGACCCTAAACACGCTATATTTTCGAATTAGCAAGTCAAGATCTACAACACAAAAATTTTTGAGAATTTTTAGACGATATTTTCAAAAAGGTAACTATGTAGTAGCTGCTAAGATAAAACTGCTTGTATAGAGGTACTATCCCCGCCCACCCGCTCTCTATTTTCTTAGAGAGATTTCATTTGTCAAAATCAGTCTTATCCTAGTTAGTAGTTGCTAAGATAAAACTGATTTTGGCCAATGACATATCCGGAAAAAAAGAGAGGGTGGGTGGGCGGGGTTATTACCTGGTAAAGTAAGACCGATTTTGCCAAGTGAGATACCTTGTAAGAAAAGAGAGGATGGGTGGGTGGTTGGGGTACTAGTAGCTAATAAGATTGTTTTTAGCAGGTACTAACTCCGCCCACCCGCCCTCTATCTTCTCAGGGAGATCTCATTTGCCAAAATCAGTCTCATCCTAATAGGTACTAGCCCCGCCCACCCACCCCATCTTTTCTTAGAAGGTATCTCATTGGCCACAAGAGGATAAGACTGAATTTGGCAAATGACGTACCTTTTAAGAAAAGAGAGGATGGGAGGCAGAGCTAGAACCTGCTAGGATAAGACTGATTTTGGCAAATGAGATCCCTCTAAGATCGATTTTGGCAAATGACCTACCCTCTAAGAAAAAAGAGGGCGGGTGGGCGGGGCTAAGATAAAACTGATTTTAGCATATGAGATACCCTGTAAGAAAAGAAAGGCGGGTGGGCGCGGCTAGTACCTGCAAAGATAAAACTGATTTTGGCAAACAAAATACGCTCTAATAAAAGAGAGGGTGGGTGGGTGGGGTGCTAGTAGCTGCTAAGACAAAGCTGTTTTTAGCAGGTACTAGCCCCGCCCACCCGCCCTATCTTTTCTTACAAGGTATCTCATTTGCCAAAATCAGTCTTTTCCTAGCAGGTACTAGCTCCGCCCACTCATCCTCTTTTTTCTTGGAAAGTATCTCATTAGCTAAAATCAGTCTTATCTTAGCAGCTACTAGTTAGGATAAGACTGATTCTGGCAAATGACGTACTTTCTAAGAAAAGAGGGGGTGGGTGGGCGGGGCTAGAACCTGCTAAGATGAGAGTGATTTTTGCAAATGAGATATCCTCTAAGAAAAGAGAGGGTGGGTGGGCGGGGCTAGTACTTGCTAAGATAAGAGTGATTTTGGCAAAATGGCGTACCCTCTAAGAAAATAGAAGACAGGTGAGGGTGATAGTAAGACTGATTTTAGCACTTTTGACATTTTCGCCCATTTTTCAATTATTTTCGAAAATTATCCAGAGTCTAGTCAGGCACATGAAAAAAGAAATCAATTTTATAGCAATAACTTAAATCAAAAGGCTCGAGAAGTCATATCCGGCCTTGTTTCTTTGATAAATTGAACCGTTTTTCAGAATCGCTTACGGAAATATCTATATATATATTTTTAAAAAATTTTGATTTTCAAAACGATTAATTCGAAAATGTGGCTCCGTGACCTTAAACACGCTATATTTTTGGAATCAGTACGTCAAGATCTATAACACAGAATTTTTTGAGAATTTTTAGGCGATTTTTTCAAAAATGAAATTTTCCACTATGTACTTATGTAAATTTCGACCCATTTTTGACGATTTTCGAAAATTAACACATTTTCTTATAGATTCGGGTCGCAGAAGTCAGTTCCAGCCTCATTTCTACGATAGCTCTAACCGTTTTTTCAGAATCGCCTATTCAAATATGGAAATTTTTCCATTTTTTTTAAAATTTGACTTTATAAAGTATTATTTCGAAAATGTCGGTCCGCGACCATAAGCAAGCTATATATTTGGAATCAGCTCGTCGAAATCTATTATATTCGAGGATTTTTTTTGTGGATTTTAAGACAATTTTTTCAAAAGTAATTTTTTTCAAAAGTAAATTTTTTCGAACTTCACTAAATACAGTTTCTCATAGATTTCGAGCTCGAGAAGTCACATCCGGCTTCGTTTCTTCGATAACTCCGGCTGTTTCTTCAGAATCACCTAATGAAATTTCGCAGTTTGTAGAAGTTAAAAAAAATAGAATTTCACACGGAATTTTTCGAAAATATTGCTCCGTAACTACCAAGCCTAACCTTGAACTTTTTGAGAATTTTAACACAACTCTTTCAAAAATGAAATTTTCCAGTATTTTTCCAAAATTGCCCATTGAAATATCGAAATTTTTAGAAATTTCGAAAAATTCGAATGTTGCAAAGAATGTTTCGAAAATATTGCAACGTGACCACCAGCACACTATATTTTTACAATCAGTATATCAAGATCTACATCCCTGAATTTTTTGAGAATTTTTATACAACTGTTTCAAAAATGATATTTTCCAATGTTTTTCCAGAAAATATCGAAATTTTTAGAAATTAAAAAAAAATCGAATGTTACAAATAATATTTCGAAAGTATTGCAACGTGACCACGAACACGCTATACTTTTACGGTTATTGCATAATTACATCCCCGAATTTTTTGAGAATTTTTACACAACTTTTTCAAAAATGAAATTTTCACCTTGTATGCAAATTTCGCCCCATTTTCGAAACTTGGCTAATTTTATTTTCTTGTAGGTTTTGGGCGGTAGAAGTCACTTCCGGTCTGATTTTTTCGGTAAATCCAACCATTTTTCCAGAATCGCCCATTAAAATATCGCAATTTTTGAAAATTAAAAAAAATCGAATTTTACAACGAAAATTTCGAAAATATTGACCACAAACAAGTATCTTGCTGCTTTTTTAATGCCATTTCACCTACTCTCCCCGGTGTATCTTCCAATAGTTTATATAATTGATCTACTATATCCACAGACTGACTTAAAGTCAGCCCAATGCTCTCTAATCTAGTTATACTTGTTTCTAAGATCGTAAAATGCGAGAAAACCCAGTGAAGTTGCGCCGGAATTATTTTGTACATAATCGGTCTGTAATTAGTCGTGTAAGTTCGAGTTATTAAGAAATAATTTGTTGAGTTCTACCCACGCCGATTTTATGCACCCGTTCAACGTAACAATATCTTATGAAACGAAAATTAATAATAATTTTCTTTTTCATCTACAAAATTTTTATAACTAGCTGTTTTGACGAAATTGTAAAAATTGCTATATTTCAGTTAGCGATTTTGGGAAAACGGTAAGAATTTCCGAAGAAACGAAAACGAAAATGACTTCTGGATATCGAAATTTACAAATGTCTTAAACTAATTTTCGGATATAATTGAAAAATGGTCAAAAATGACAAAAGTACCAAAATCAACACCTATCAAATACTAGCCCCACCCACCCGTCCTCTATTTTCTTAGAAGAAATGTCATTTGCCAAAATCAGTCCTATCTTAGCAAGTACTAGCCCCGCCCACCCACCCTGTCTCCTTTTTAGTGATCGATTATATCCGATCTGAATGAAATAAAACTAGAATTAACTAGAATTAGAATGCGAAGAGGGGGGTGGGCGGAGCTAGTACTTGCTAAGATAAGACTGATTTTGGCAAATCACTTCTTTCCAAGACAATAGAGGGTGGGTGGGCGGGGCTAGTACTTGATCAGATAGGACTGATTTGGGCAATTTTCACATTTATTTTCGACCATTTTTCAACTATTTACTAAAATTTGTGGAAGACATTTTCTTGTAGATTTCGATATTCGAAGTATTTTCAGTATAAACATTTTGTACGTAATTAAAAAACTGAAATTATTATTAATTTTTGTTTCATAAAATCCAATTATTTTAAGAATGTACTTTTGATTTTTGATATTTACAGATTTTTTTTTTTGGGACAATAGAGAAGTCAGGACAGGTCAGGTTACGTTACGTTGAAATCTGTCCCAAAATTTTTTGAAAATTTTTATAAAACTTTTTCAAAAATGATATTTTTCACTAACGTACGTATGCAAATTTCGACCCATTTTCGACCATTTCCGAAATTTAACTGAACACATTTTCTCGTAGATTTTGGGTGTAGAAGTCACTTTCGGTCTCATTTCTTCACTTACTCGAACTGTTTTTCCAGAATCGCCCAATGAAATATCGAAATTTTTGGAAATAACATAAATTTCGAATTTCATAACGAATATTTTCAAAATAGTGTCCCATGACCATAAACAGGCTATATTTTTATAATCAGAACGTCGGGACCTATATTTCTGAATTTTTTGAATATTTTTAAATAACTTTTTCAAAAATCAAATTTTTCGGTATGAGTATATCATTTCCCAAAATCAGTTTTATCTTATCAAATATTAGCCCCACCCACCCACCCTCTGTTTTCTTAGAAAGTGTGCCATCTGCCAAAATTAGTCTTATCTTAGCAAGTACTAGCCCCGCCCACCCACCCTGTCTCCTTTTTAGTGATCGATTATATCCGATCTGAATGAAATGAATGATCTTATACCTAACAGAAATAAAACTAATCGTTAGAATGCGAAGAGGGGGGTGGGCGGAGCTAGTACTTGCTAAGATAAGACTGATTTTGGCAAATGACTTTCTTTCTAAGAAGATAGAGGGAGGGGTTAATATTTGATAAGATAAGACTGATTTTGGCAAATAACTTTTTTTCCAAGAAAATTGAGGGTGGGTGGGCGGGGCTAGTATTTGATCAAATAGGACTGATTTTGGCAATGTTTCACATTTTCGACCATTTTTCAACTATTTCCGAAAATTTTCTTGTAGATTTCGATATTTAGAAGTATTTTCGGTTTCGTTTCTTCGAAAATTCCTACCGTTTTTCCAAAGTCGCTAATTGAAATATAGCAATTTTTACAGTTTGGTCAAAATAATTCAGTACAAAAATTTGGTACGTAAATAAAAAATTGAAATTATTTTTGTTTCGTAAAATACAAATATTTTAAGAATGTACTTTTGGTTTTTATACATTTACAAAAATTTTTATTCTTTTTTTTTATTTGGGAAAGTCAGGACAGGTCAGGTTATGTTATGTCGAAATCTACGTTCCTAGATTTTTTGAAAACTTTTATAAAACTTTTTCAAAAATGAAGTTTTTCACTAAGGTAGGTATGCAAATTTCGACCCATTTTCGACCATTTCCGAAATTCAACTGAACACATTTTCTCGTAAATTTTGGGTGTAGAAGTCACTTGCGGTCTAATTTCTTTACTTATTCAAACTGTTTTTCTAAAATCGCCCAATGAAATATCGAAATTTTTAGAAATAACAGAAATTTCGAATTTCATAACGAATATTTTCAAAATAGTGCCCCATGACCATAAACAGGCTATATTTTTATAATCAGAACGTCGGGACCTATATTTCTGAATTTTTTGAAAATTTTTAAACAACTTTTCCAAAAATCAGATTTTTCGGTATGAGTGTATCATTTCCTAAAATCAGTTTTATCTTATCAAATATTAGCCCCGCCCACCCACCCTCTATTTTCTTAGAAGAAATGTCATTTGCCAAAATCAGTCCTATCTTAGCAAGTACTAGCCCCGCCCACCCACCCTGTCTCCTTTTTAGTGATCGATTATATCCGATCTGAATGAAATAAAACTAGAATTAACTAGAATTAGAATGCGAAGAGGGGGGTGGGCGGAGCTAGTACTTGCTAAGATAAGACTGATTTTGGCAAATCACTTCTTTCCAAGACAATAGAGGGTGGGTGGGCGGGGCTAGTACTTGATCAGATAGGACTGATTTGGGCAATTTTCACATTTTCGACCATTTTTCAACTATTTACTAAAATTTGTGGAAGACATTTTCTTGTAGATTTCGATATTCGAAGTATTTTCAGTATAAACATTTTGTACGTAATTAAAAAACTGAAATTATTATTAATTTTTGTTTCATAAAATCCAATTATTTTAAGAATGTACTTTTGATTTTTTGATATTTACAGATTTTTTTTTTTTTGGGACAATAGAGAAGTCAGGACAGGTCAGGTTACGTTACGTTGAAATCTGTCCCAAAATTTTTTGAAAATTTTTATAAAACTTTTTCAAAAATGATATTTTTCACTAACGTACGTATGCAAATTTCGACCCATTTTCGACCATTTCCGAAATTTAACTGAACACATTTTCTCGTAGATTTTGGGTGTAGAAGTCACTTTCGGTCTCATTTCTTCACTTACTCGAACTGTTTTTCCAGAATCGCCCAATGAAATATCGAAATTTTTGGAAATAACATAAATTTCGAATTTCATAACGAATATTTTCAAAATAGTGTCCCATGACCATAAACAGGCTATATTTTTATAATCAGAACGTCGGGACCTATATTTCTGAATTTTTTGAATATTTTTAAATAACTTTTTCAAAAATCAAATTTTTCGGTATGAGTATATCATTTCCCAAAATCAGTTTTATCTTATCAAATATTAGCCCCACCCACCCACCCTCTGTTTTCTTAGAAAGTGTGCCATCTGCCAAAATTAGTCTTATCTTAGCAAGTACTAGCCCCGCCCACCCACCCTGTCTCCTTTTTAGTGATCGATTATATCCGATCTGAATGAAATGAATGATCTTATACCTAACAGAAATAAAACTAATCGTTAGAATGCGAAGAGGGGGGTGGGCGGAGCTAGTACTTGCTAAGATAAGACTGATTTTGGCAAATGACTTTCTTTCTAAGAAGATAGAGGGAGGGGTTAATATTTGATAAGATAAGACTGATTTTGGCAAATAACTTTTTTTCCAAGAAAATTGAGGGTGGGTGGGCGGGGCTAGTATTTGATCAAATAGGACTGATTTTGGCAATGTTTCACATTTTCGACCATTTTTCAACTATTTCCGAAAATTTTCTTGTAGATTTCGATATTCAGAAGTATTTTCGGTTTTGTTTCTTCGAAAATTCCTACCGTTTTTCCAAAGTCGCTAACTGAAATATAGCAATTTTTACAGTTTGGTCAAAATAATTCAGTACAAAAATTTGGTACGTAAATAAAAAATTGAAATTATTTTTGTTTCGTAAAATACAAATATTTTAAGAATGTACTTTTGGTTTTTATACATTTACTAAAATTTTAATTTTTTTTTTTTATTTGGGACAATAGGAAAGTCAGGACAGGTCAGGTTACGTTATGTCGAAATCTACGTTCCTAGATTTTTTGAAAACTTTTATAAAACTTTTTCAAAAATGAAGTTTTTCACTAAGGTAGGTATGCAAATTTCGACCCATTTTCGACCATTTCCGAAATTCAACTGAACACATTTTCTCGTAAATTTTGGGTGTAGAAGTCACTTGCGGTCTAATTTCTTCACTTATTCAAACTGTTTTTCTAAAATCGCCCAATGAAATATCGAAATTTTTAGAAATAACAGAAATTTCGAATTTCATAACGAATATTTTCAAAATAGTGCCCCATGACCATAAACAGGCTATATTTTTATAATCAGAACGTCGGGACCTATATTTCTGAATTTTTTGAAAATTTTTAAACAACTTTTCCAAAAATCAGATTTTTCGGTATGAGTGTATCATTTCCCAAAATCAGTTTTATCTTATCAAATAGCCCCGCCCACCCACCCTCTATTTTCTTAGAGGATATGTCATTTGCCAAAATCAGTTTTATCTCATCAAATATTAGCCCCGCCCACCCACCCTCTATTTTCTTAGAAAGTATGCCATCTGCCAAAATTAGTCTTATCTTAGCAAGTACTAGCCCCGCCCACCCACCCTGTCTCCTTTTTAGTGATCGATTATATCCGATCTGAATGAAATGAATGATCTTATATCTAACAGAAATAAAACTAATCGTTAGAATGCGAAGAGGGGGGTGGGCGGAGCTAGTACTTGCTAAGATAAGACTGATTTTGGCAAATGACTTTCTTTCTAAGAAAATAGAGGGAGGGGTTAATATTTGCTAAGATAAGACTGATTTTGGCAAATGACTTTTTTTCCAAGAAAATTGAGGGTGGGTGGGCGGGGCTAGTATTTGATCAAATAGGACTGATTTTGGCAATGTTTCACATTTTCGACCATTTTTCAACTATTTCCGAAAATTTTCTTGTAGATTTCGATATTCAGAAGTATTTTCGGTTTCGTTTCTTCGAAAATTCCAACCGTTTTTCCAAAGTCGCTAACTGAAATATAGCAATTTTTACAGTTTGGTCAAAATAATTCAGTACAAAAATTTGGTACGTAAATAAAAAATTGAAATTATTTTTGTTTCGTAAAATACAAATATTTTAAGAATGTACTTTTGGTTTTTATACATTTACTAAAATTTTTATTTTTTTTTTTTATTTGGGACAATAGGAAAGTCAGGACAGGTCAGGTTACGTTATGTCGAAATCTACGTTCCTAGATTTTTTGAAAACTTTTATAAAACTTTTTCAAAAATGAAGTTTTTCACTAAGGTAGGTATGCAAACTTCGACCCATTTTCGACCATTTCCGAAATTCAACTGAACACATTTTCTCGTAAATTTTGGGTGTAGAAGTCACTTGCGGTCTAATTTCTTTACTTATTCAAACTGTTTTTCTAAAATCGCCCAATGAAATATCGAAATTTTTAGAAATAACAGAAATTTCGAATTTCATAACGAATATTTTCAAAATAGTGCCCCATGACCATAAACAGGCTATATTTTTATAATCAGAACGTCGGGACCTATATTTCTGAATTTTTTGAAAATTTTTAAACAACTTTTCCAAAAATCAGATTTTTCGGTATGAGTGTATCATTTCCTAAAATCAGTTTTATCTTATCAAATATTAGCCCCGCCCACCCACCCTCTATTTTCTTAGAGGATATGTCATTTGCCAAAATCAGTTTTATCTCATCAAATATTAGCCCCGCCCACCCTCCCTCTATTTTCTTAGAAAGTATGCCATCTGCCAAAATTAGTCTTATCTTAGCAAGTACTAGCCCCGCCCACCCACCCTGTCTCCTTTTTAGTGATCGATTATATCCGATCTGAATGAAATGAATGATCTTATGCCTAACAGAAATAAAACTAATCGTTAGAATGCGAAGAGGGGGGTGGGCGGAGCTAGTACTTGCTAAGATAAGACTGATTTTGGCAAATGACTTTCTTTCTAAGAAAATAGAGGGAGGGGTTAATATTTGCTAAGATAAGACTGATTTTGGCAAATGACTTTTTTTCCAAGAAAATTGAGGGTGGGTGGGCGGGGCTAGTATTTGATCAAATAGGACTGATTTTGGCAATGTTTCACATTTTCGACCATTTTTCAACTATTTCCGAAAATTTTCTTGTAGATTTCGATATTCAGAAGTATTTTCGGTTTCGTTTCTTCGAAAATTCCTACCGTTTTTCCAAAGTCGCTAACTGAAATATAGCAATTTTTACAGTTTGGTCAAAATAATTCAGTACAAAAATTTGGTACGTAAATAAAAAATTGAAATTATTTTTGTTTCGTAAAATACAAATATTTTAAGAATGTACTTTTGGTTTTTATACATTTACTAAAATTTTTATTTTTTTTTTTTATTTGGGACAATAGGAAAGTCAGGACAGGTCAGGTTACGTTATGTCGAAATCTACGTTCCTAGATTTTTTGAAAACTTTTATAAAACTTTTTCAAAAATGAAGTTTTTCACTAAGGTAAGTATGCAAATTTCGACCCATTTTCGACCATTTCCGAAATTCAACTGAACACATTTTCTCGTAAATTTTGGGTGTAGAAGTCACTTGCGGTCTAATTTCTTCACTTACTCAAACTGTTTTTCTAAAATCGCCAAATGAAATATCGAAATTTTTAGAAATAACAGAAATTTCGAATTTCATAACGAATATTTTCAAAATAGTGCCCCATGACCATAAACAGGCTATAATTTTATAATCAGCACGTCGGGACCTACATTTCTGAATTTTTTGAATATTTTTAAATAACTTTTTCAAAAATCAAATTTTTCGGTATGAGTATATCATTTCCCAAAATCAGTTTTATCTTATCAAATATTAGCCCCACCCACCCACCCTCTATTTTCTTAGAAAGTATGCCATCTGCCAAAATTAGTCTTATCTTAGCAAGTACTATATGTTTGGAATCAGCACGCCGGGATCTACATCCCTTAATGTTTTGATAATTTTTAGACAACTTTTTCAAAAATTAAATGTTCCACTATGTACATGTACACCCCTTATGCAAATTTTGACCCATTTTCGAAATTTGACTAAATTAAAACGTTTTCTGTTTTCTGCGATAAATCCAACCATTTTTTCATAATCGCCAATTGAACTGAAAAAACCAAATATTTACTTAAACAGTCGTCCGTGGTCGAACACCTCAAAAACAACACCAATTATAAACCCTCCCGAAAAAACCATAATTCGCTGGAAATTTTCCCGAATTATCTCCCCCAGCCGCCCGATCCACCCCGCCCCACCACTCCGCCCCCCGGCCGCCATTGGCCGGCCGGCACGCGCTCCGGCGGGGGTGCCTTTAAAGCCCCTCGCATCCAACCCGTGCCACAGTCCACCCGGCCCATCAGCCCAGCAAGTGTAGTGATGGAATCGTCCGAGTCGTACGGCTACCTGTACATGCTGACGCCCCAGCAGCCCGCCGACTGGGCCACCGCTTCCTACGACAGCTACTCCGAGGAGACCTCCAGCCCCGAGCCCGGCGGCGGCCGCTCCAAGAGCCGCGTCACCCCCCTCATCCTGCGCAAGCGAAGATTGGCGGCGAACGCCCGCGAGAGACGGAGGATGCAGAACCTCAACCAGGCCTTCGACCGGCTGAGGACGTTCCTGCCCCAGTTGGGCCAGGACCGGCAACTCAGCAAGTACGAGACGCTGCAGATGGCCCAGACCTACATCACGGCCCTGTACGACCTCCTGGACCAGCGGCCGCAGAACTGAGGGAGCGCCGCGAGCAGTTGTCATACCAAAGGTACGGTCCAGAATAGCGCCAAACAGTCGTAGAAACAATTTTCTGTGTTTCGAGTAGAGAAAATGAATTTTTGTGGCCGGACTGTGGATCAGTACGTTGTTTGTAAATTGTAAATAATGTTGATTAGTTGTAAGTAGGTAGGACCGTTCAGTATTCGCTGATTTTGTGCCAATTTCGTTTAGTCATGTATGCTCATGTCCAAATAAAGTTTTTAAGTTTTTATTTTGGGGTTTCCCATGTCGTTTTAATTTTTTTTCTTGCGGATGTGGGTCCTTGTCGAATTTCGTACAAAGGGCCAATTCCGGTTTTTGGTGTTTTGACGATTGCTGGGAATGTGGATGAGAGGTCGGGGCAGGTAAGTGAGGGTTTTAATTGTGTTTTTTGTGGGCCGGGGATGAGGGTGCGAAATTAGGGGTTGTTGGTGATTTCGATGATGCGTGGAGCGGGGAAAACGGACGGGAAATGACATTTTTAATTAGTGACTAAGACATTTTTGTCTTTGTTTAATTTATTATTGTTAGTATTATTTTTTTTAAATAATTTTAATTAAAAGTTTATTTTTAATTTTCGCATTATATTCAATTTGTTCATTGTAAATTGGAAAGTTCTATTTAATTATGTAGTCGTTTTTGCAATGTTTGTTTTTTTTTTACTTAGAGGAAATTTTTATTTAGATGTTCAATGTCCAGAATTTCATTTTGTTGAAATTATTAAAAGTAGGTCTAGAATGTTTAATCACTGAAATTTTAATTCGACAATACATCGAAATATTGAATTCGATTGGAAAATAAGTGGAAACTCGATTCCGAAATTACAAAACTTAGATTTTAATATCGTGAAAGTCAGGAAACATTCTTATCATGATCTAATTTTAAACTCACTAATGACTAATATTACTTGAATTGAAACAATACTGTTTTTGTTTAATTTAATCAGCTAAAACCATTTTAAAATTGTCCATTTTTCAAATTTAAAAAAATCCATTCGAAGCTCTCTGGATTATTTCCAACCCTCAAAAAACAAGGGATGCTTAAAATTCTTTCAAAAAAAAAAACAAAGTAGGTACTGCGGAGATTCTTTCAACTTTCAAAAATAAAACATCAAGGGTTCCCGAGATTCTTTTAAATTCTCCCAAAAAATGCGAAAGTACCCCGAGTTACTTATTAAATTCTTAAACAAAAAGACGTAAAACATGGAATTGTTCTAAAAAATTCTTAAGAAAACACTAGGGGTCCCTGAGATTCAACTGAATTATTAAAAAAAAAGTATTAGGAGTCCCTAGAATTTACTTTAAAAATTCACAAAAGCATCAGAAATTCTTTTAATAAAAAAAAAAAATAGGAACCCCGAGATTGATTCTTCCAAATTCTTTTAAAAATAAAACTCTACACTTTTAAATTGTTTGAAAAAAACACTAGAGGCCTGCGAGATCTTTTCAAATACTTAAATAAACACACTAAGAATCTCTGAGAATCTTTCCAACATAAAAATCATCAAAGGCCTAAATTCTAAAAAAAACATCAATGGTTTAAAAGATTCTCTTAAATACTTTCATAATAAAAAAACATTTCGACCCTTCGGAATTCCTTCAAAAGTATTTAGAAAAAAAAAAAACAATAACTGTCGAGATTCTTTTAAATTCTAAAAAAACACCAAAAGCTTTCGAGGTTCTTTTAAATTCTTTCAAAAAAAAAAGAACTACAGACCCGGATTCTTCTCTTCCAGATTCTTTCAAAAATATAATGTATTTTCAGCAGTTCTCGAGATTTTTTTAATTTCTTAAAAAATACATAGGAACCTTTGAGGTTCTTCGAAATTTTTAAAACTAAAAAACATTTCTCCCTGGGGAGCTCCGAGTTCGTATAAATTCTTTAAAAAACTTATTAGAGATCTCTGAGATTTCAATTAAAAAAAAACACTAAAGCTCCGAGTTTTTATAAATTCTTCAAACAATACTAGGGATCCCCGAAATTACATCATTGGCTTAGGAGATTGTTTTAAATTCTTTCAAAATAAAAAAATATATACCAGAGACTGACGAGGTTCCTTCAAATTAAAAAAAAACATTAGGGACTTCCGAGATTCTTTTAAATTCTTTTAAAATAAATAAAACCCTAGGAACCCCCGAAATTCCTTCAACTAGGTGCTCATGAAGTTATTTTCAGTTCTTAAAAAAGACTTATGAGCCCCCAGGATTCATTTAAAACACTGAAGAACAACAGAGATTCTTTTAAATAAATAAAAAAAAAAAAACAGGAGCATCGAGATTCTTTCCAAATAAAAAGACTACGACCCCTGCGATTCTTTAAAAAAAATACTAGGAACTGCCAATATTCTTTCAAAATTTTTCAAGAATGGAACACACATTAGATTTAAAAAAAGGACCCATGGAATTCTTTTAAATTCTTTCCAAAAAACACTAAAGGGCCCCCAGTTTCTTATCAATTTTCAAAAAATAGTGGAGCCCCTTGAAATTTATTTGAATTCTAAAGAAACAGCAACAGGAACTTCCAGAGATTTGTTTTACAAAAAAAACACTAGAATTCCGAGATCTCTTCCAAATTCTTTCAAAAATATAATGTATATATTTTCAGCAGTTCTCGAGATTTTTTTGATTTCTTAAAAAATACATAGACATCTTTGAGATTTTTCGAAATTTCTAAAACCTTCACATTCTTAACAAAAAAAAAACTAGGAGCTTCTGAACTTGTTTCCAAAATAAAAAACAATAAGGGACTTCGAGATTCATTTAAATTCCAAAAGAAAAACTTCATCGGCTTCGCAAATTCTTTTAAATTCTTTCAGAATAAAAAAACAGTAGGCACTCCCGACGTTTCTTCAAATTTAAAAAAAAACACTAGGGGACCCTGAGATTCTTTTGAATTCTTTTAAAATAAATAAAACCCTAGGAACCCTCGAAATTCCTTCAACTAGGTGCCCATGAAGTTATTTTGAGTTCTTAAAAAAGACTTACGAGCCCCCAGGATTCATTTAAAACACTGAAGAACAACAGAGATTCTTTTAAATAAAAAAAAAAAACAGGAGCATCGAGATTCTTTCCAAGTCTTTCCAAAATAAAACACTAAGGCTCCTGAGATTTATTAAATTCTTGAAAAAAAACACTAAAGAGTCCCCAGTTTTTTATAAATTTTCAAAAATATAGTGGAGCTCCTCGAAATTAGGAGCCCCTAGGATTCTTTTGAATTCTTAAAAATGTATTAGGAGCGCTACGAATTCATTTAAAAAATCTTAAGAAAACACCGGATTTTTTAAATCTAAAAATTCGGACCCCAAAATCTTTCCAAATTCCTTAAAAAAATTTCGGCCCCTCTAGATTCCTAGAAACTCTAAAAAAAAAAACATCAGGGAGTTCCGAGATTCTTTGAAATTCTCTCAAAACAAATAAAACAATAGGAACTCCCGAAATTCCTTCAAATTCTTAAAAAAACACTAGGGGCTCATGAGATTCTTTTGAGTTCTAAAAAAAATACTAGGAATTCCCGAAATTACATTTTTTAAATTAAAAAAAAAAACAGGAGACTCGTGATTCTTTCAAATTCTTTCAGAAAAAAGTCTAACGCCCTCTTTGAGTTTTTTTCAAACTTTTTCAAAAATAAAATATTAAGTCTCCTGAGATTTTTTTTATTCTTTCAAAAAAAAAGACACAAAGTCTCCAGTTTTTTATAAATTTTCAAAGAATTAGTAGAGTCCCTCGAAATTCTTTTGAATTCTAAAAGGAAAAACAGAAAAAACAGTAAGGGCCTCTAGGATTCCTTTGAATTCTTAAAACAAAACTATTAGAAGCGCTACGAATTCATTTAAAAAAACTAAAGAAAACACCAGATTTTTTAAATAAAAAAATTGTGACCCCAGAATTTTTCCAGATTCTTACAAAAAAAACTAAGGCCCCTCTAGATTCTTTTAAACTCTAAAAAAAACATCAGGGTTTTCCGAGATTCTTTGAAATTCTTTTAAAACAAATAAAACAATAGGAACTTCTGAAATTCCTTCAAATTCTTAAAAAAACACTCATGAGATTCTTTTGAGTTCTTAAAGAAGACTTACGAGTCCCTGGGATTCATTTAAAACATTGAAAAACAACAGATTCTTTTAAATTAAAAAAAAAAACAGGAGACTTGTGATTCTTGCAAATTCTTTCAGAAAAAAGTCTAGCACCCTCTTTGTGTTTTTTTCAAACTTTTTCAAAAATAAAATACTAAGTCTCCTGAGATTTTTTTTATTCTTTCAAAAAAAACACGAAAGAGTCTCCAGTTTCTTATTAATTTTCAAAGAATTAGTAGTCCCTCGAAATTCTTTTGAATTCTAAGAAGAAAAACAGAAAAAAACAGCAAGGACCCCTAGGAGTCTTTTAAATTCTTAAAACAAAACTATTAGAAGCGCTACGAATTCATTAAAAAAACTTAAGAATAAATAAAAAAATTGTGCCCCCAAAATTTTTCCAATTTCTTACAAAAAGAACTAAGGCCCCTCTAGATTCTTTTAAACTCTAAAAAAACACCAGGGTTTTCCGAGATTCTTTGAAATTCTTTTAAAACAAATAAAACAATAGGAACTTCTGAAATTCCTTCAAATTCTTAAAAAAACACTAGGGGCTCATGGGATTTTTTTGAGTTCTTAAAAAAGACTTACGAGCCCCTGGGATTCATTTAAAACATTGAAAAACAACAGATTCTTTTAAATTTAAAAAAGAAACAGGAGACTCGTGATTCTTTCAAATTCTTTCAGAAAAAAATCTAGCGCCCTCTTTGAGATTTTTTCAAACTTTTTCGAAAATAAACTACTAAGTCTCCTGGGATTTTTTTTATTCTTTCAAAAAAAAAAACACTAAAGAGTCCCTAGTTTCTTATACATTTTCAAAGAAATAGTAGAGTCCCTCGAAATTCTTTTGAATTCTAAAACGAAAAACAGAAAAAAAACTGTAAGGGCCCCTAGGATTCTTTTGAATTCT